AGATTCATGTACTGGACAAAATAGAAATATGCAGATTTAAAATATGCAAGTTTAAAAAAATATGCAGATTCATGTACTGGACAAAATAGAAATATGCAGATTTAAAATATGCAAGTTTAAAAAAATATGCAGATTCATGTACTGGACAAAATAGAAATATGCAGATTTAAAATATGCAAGTTTAAAAAAATATGCAGATTCATGTACTGGACAAAATAGAAATATGCAGATTTAAAATATGCAAGTTTAAAAAAATATGCAGATTCATGTACTGGACAAAATAGAAATATGCAGATTTAAAATATGCAAGTTTAAAAAAATATGCAGATTCTGTACTGACAAAATAGAAAATATGCAGATTTAAAATATGCAAGTTTAAAAAAATATGCAGATTCATGTACTGGGACAAAATAGAAATATGCAGATTTAAAATATGCAAGTTTAAAAAAATATGCAGATTCATGTACTGGACAAAATAGAAATATGCAGATTTAAAATATGCAAGTTAAAAAAATATGCAGATTCATGTACTGGACAAAATAGAAATATGCCAGATTTAAAATATGCAAGTTTAAAAAAATATGCAGATTCATGTACTGGACAAAATAGAAATATGCAGATTTAAAATATGCAAGTTTAAAAAAATATGCAGATTCATGTACTGGACAAAATAGAAATATGCAGATTTAAAATATGCAAGTTTAAAAAAATATGCAGATTCATGTACTGGACAAAATAGAAATATGCAGATTTAAAATATGCAAGTTTAAAAAAATATGCAGATTCATGTACTGGACAAAATAGAAATATCAAAACGGTCTTAAGTTTATCGAAAGTTGTTGAAAGTACGAAAATAAGAGCTGAATCAAACGAAAATTTTGGTACGTGGACATAGCTATTTGCTTTATGATTCAGATTTCGCCTTATGATCTTGCTAAGTCAGATACGGAAATAATTCAAAACATTTTTCCACCACATGATTGGTAATCAAAACATATAAAAAGGAAGCGCCGTCTAATATAATCCAAATGACTCGCCAAGACTTTTCTTAACAAAATCTTTTCAGAAAATCCGAAAATCTCAAAACATTCAGTCATTAACAGAAGCAACAGTTACAAGTTTTCAGTAAATTTCTTAAAATGCGCTGGATAAAGATAAAAAAGTTTAAACCCCACCTCATACGATTCGAATATGACTATAATGAAGATTTAGAATTTAGTGTTAAAATGTAAATCTGTAGCAGGTTGACCACAAAGTTTGAAAAATGTAGATCCGCTTTTTTATTATATCCTAAAGGTAAAACTGTAACAAAGAATAAAAAGAGACATGATGGATCTGCTAAAATTCTTTGCTCCTGTTAAACTGATTACTATAAAAACCTAATAACAAATAGAAGTGGCAAGAATTGATAATATAGATTTTTACGAAATATTTGTAATAAAAATGTATAATACCTGACTTTTTCTGTAATAAAGAACTTAAGTCCTATTTCTAAAGGCAAAATTTATGTTAAATTTTTAATGTAAAATAATAAAACTATTTTATTAAAAACTGTGATAGTAGAAACAATCACGATTTTGTGATTCTTTGGAATATCATGATTTTACTACAGGTTTAATGTTAGCCAAATCCTCAAAAGGTTTTTTTTTCTAATGTGATTTTTTACTTTTGATAATTCAATTTTCAAGATTTATAATTCTGTTTCAAGGATATAGTAATACTAAATCATACTCGAGTCTTAAAAAACATCTTGTTTTCTGTGTTAGGTATAATTACGAATGTCATTAATGCTTTATGTAAGTAGTGTCTAAAGTTGAAACGGCGGAGAGGCATTGTGACAGCACTGCATACATATATCAGGATCATGTGACCTCCTACTGGGTTTTCGAATACTGACTCTGAACGAAAAATCTGAAATGAGAATCATTTATACCCATCCCATACGGGCAGACTGAAATAGCACGATTTTAAGAAAAGGCCTAAACAGGGAAAGCCTTCAGTAACACTTAACCTAGACAATGTGCCCCCGTCTTTCATCAGCTGTCAGTTTCCATCTTTTCTGTTTTCATCTCAGAACTCTACTCAGGACATCTTTGAAAGAATTTTGATTTCGTGCAGGACATCTTTGAAAGAATTATAATTTCCTGCAAACCTTAAGTTCTTATTTCTTAAACACACAAACAGTTATTTAAACTGCATATAACTTATAAAAGCAGTTATCTAAACAGTTATTTAAACTGCTCTTAACTGGTGATGATTCTGTAAAAATTACACCTATTATTGAAACATATTTATTATTCTCACAATATTTAATGCAAATATTCAACTTAACTATTGGAAAACTACCGAACAATGAAACTTCTGATACAGATGTTTCCAAAGTTTTGACCAATGTTAATAAACTTCAATCTCGATATGATAAGCAATAATTAAAAAAAATTAGGCAGTGCAGAAATCGCCAAAGATTACAATAATTTTAAATTATTTCTTCTTGCAGCAGTTGCTTATTTAAAAGAATATCTTCCTGAAATTTATACATTTAGCAAATTGACAATTCTAAATTTGTTTAATAATTAACTTCAAACATACCAGAAATTTGCTGAAGTTATTGAGATTCGAAGCTAAAAGGAAAGTCAGTTTAAATATGAGCAGCCGGTTTTATGACGTAACATTAATTTAACACGCTCACGCCGGGGCCAGTTTTTATGTTCTTCGCCGTGAGACGGCGCTCGAATTTTTGCCGCGTTTCATCTGGCGGCGCGCGATTATTACCTGTTCAAACCTGTATACGAGTTGTACGTTTGCTAATAATTATTAATAATTGTTATTAAAAAGTGTTTATAATAAATAAACGATAATTTTTTATTATTTTAATTTTCAGCGTCTAATAACACAATCGAATGCGTACCATCGGTGGCGCCCGATAAGATAGACTAGTGAGGGCCACCGGTGGTATGCGCCGCCCGATGAGACAGATTAGTGGGGCCACCGGTGGCCCGAGCCGGCGTGAATGTGTTAATATATATATTCAAAGTTCTGGACATTTCACAAGTTCTAAAACATCAAATAACACATGGCACATTTTTTAAAAATGCAGAATAAACAAATAAGTTATTATTTTGAAAACAGTTTCTTGCAACATCAGCGTACTATAAAAGGATTTTACTGTCATGTTAACTAAATGGAGAAATAAATGAAATAGATGTTCGGCTGAACTTATAAAAATTAATTTGTTATATATTTTAATTATAACGAAAAATTTTTAGAATTTGTCAAAAAAATAAGAAATGATGCAATATTTTCTGAAGTTTGCTTAAAATTAGAACACATCTAATTTTAAAAATTAGAAGTTTAGTTTTAGAAGTTTCAAATATTTATTTGCAAATTGTCGTATATTTTTATCAGTTTTTTTTAGTTCTAAGGATTATTCTAATAATGCATCTTTTGTTTTAATGTGTCGGTATATAATCATTTAAATTCTTAAAGCAACAGTCTTTCCGGTTAAGCAATTATTCAGATGAACATAAATTCTGATATTATATTCCAATAGTTTACAATAATAATAAAAAGTAATTGATATAAATATATTTATAGTGTCCTTTTATTGCAACTTGATAGAATTGGCAACACTACTGATAAGCAATACTGTTATCATGTGGCAATTAATATACTTTGAATTGGTATTTGCTTCATTTTTGTCCCTGACGAGATACGAGCGAACTGAAAAATAAATTAATAAATTTTCTGTCTTTACATCTTACATTGAGTTAAGACTCTTAATTCTCACTTGCATTTCGTATGTTGTTGAAGTCGTTCGACTTCTCAATTAATGATCTTTAAATGTAATTTAAAATATTTTTACTTTTATTTGGGGGTGTTAATAATAAAATTTCATGATTTGATTTATAGTAATCAAACTTAATTAGACATAAATCTTTTTCAAATTCTCATAATCGCATTAAACAGAGAATTTTATTAGAATTATTGATTTAAAAAAACACTGTTTTCAATTACACAGGGAATGTTCCATTATCACGATTGAAAAATAGGCTAGAAAGGTAAATTCGATTTATTTTCCCGTTTGTTGAAAACAACAACATTTGTAGATACATAAACTTATACTAAGAAATCTGAAAATTATAACATATGCTATTAGTAAAAAGAAAAAGACAACTTTATTTACTTTTAAAGGCTTACAAAATAAAAAAAGGAAACGTAAGCATTACGTTGGAACAAAGCATTTGACAAGAATACCACCTCAAAACATATATATCATCAACTTCCTTTCCCTTTGGCCCACTTTTCCGAATGTCTGTCTTTCTATGCATCATAGAAAACCAAAAGCAATAAACATCCAGAGGAATTGAGACAATAAATGTCTTTTCCTCTTCCGGTTAAAGCGACCTATTATTATTCTCACGCAAGCCATAAGAAGGAATGATATAAAAGGTCCATGCTTCTGGCACTTTGCTAATTTCTATGCATCACTGTTAATGAAGCAGCTTCTCTTACAGTTATTTATATTACTCACTTAAACTATTTACTTAAAATACTCTATAAATAGTAGACATATGCAAATATTTATGTCTAATACACTCAGTGTTGAACTCTGTTTCGATTTCGACAGACTCGATAATGTCACAACTCCATGTGAACAAAGAACGCACAAAAGCCGACAAAAACTTACATAGTTCTTTACAATAAATTAATATTAAAATGTATTACATTCTTAATTTCTAACAATTCTAAATTTAAAATTGTGACTTTTTGGAATATTAGATTCAAGTCAATCGTGGCAGAAAGTAAAAAACTTTGCATTATAAATAAAATCACATGTTAAAATATGTGTGATGTTATCTTCGAAAACTGAAAATGAAATGCTCATAAAAAGAAACTTGGTATTTTAGTGCTTACAGCTGACGTGTAATTTTCCTGTTGAAATGCTCAGGTATGCGAGAAAGCAATGTCGTGAAGAGTGTTTCACGTAAGGACACTTTTACGAAAGTCACAAAAAATTGCTTTTTATTTCGCCTTAATGTATGTTTTATATATTTTGGATTGCAATTCGGTGACAAATGATTATTTTTTGGCATAACTAATTTTAGAATTACTTTTCAAGCCATTTTTAATTTTATAATTAATTTTTAATTTTTTCAAGCCTTTTTTAATTTTATAAAGAGTTTTCCAATAATACAATTTTACTCGTTCGTTGATAAGTTAAAATAGTGAATTAAGTTATCAGACATAAAAAAAAAGAACATCAAGTGAAATAATTTTGTTCTAAAGTATATATAAGTTGCTACAATGCATCAACAAACGCTAGAGAATTACCACTATTATTAGCCTTCAGATATATGAATAAACAAATCCTAAAATTTGTGTCTGCTAATGTATACATAACCTGAATTATCCAGGTGTCTTCTTCAATAAATATTCTGAGAAATCTGCCTCATATGAATTCATTATTATTATTTTTAAAGTATGGTATCAAGTGTAACAATTCGGTACATGGGTAATGGTTACAGTTACAACAAGCGACATTGAGAGATTCGATGTTCTTGTGTTTTCCTGTAGAGTTTATTTAATACAATCGAACTTTTGCTGCAAGCACTAGACATGCTTATAAAAATGGCGAGCTTTTATTGTCCGTTTAGAAGACCGGCAACAGCAAAACGTTTTTTAGTAGTTGGTTGTGGTTTCTTCTGTCACGAAAACTTGACGGACTCCACCTCCGGGGATCTGGTTGGTGGTTACCCATGACCTGTGCTTGGCACGGATCATGGAAAGATTACCTTCAGCAGCTTCGGCTCTGTCTTCTGCGGCTTCCAGTTCGCGTTGGAACCTACGGACTCGGCTCAGATTTTGTTGAGAAATACCCTCCTGAAAATAAGAAAATTCGATTAGCAATAACTGTACAACAAGAATTATACATATGCATTTCTTATGTCAATACTTACGTAATAAAAACTAAAGTTTACTTTCTAAATTAGTACTTGCATGATAAATGCACTAAAAAGAAAGTCAAATAATTTGGCTATCATAATATTCTTGATCATTGATTGTCTATCATTAAAACAGTTATTGTTCATACATAACTGAAGTTTAATTCACAAGGCTGATTTAAATCAGAAATGCCAAACATTTGTTTAAAGAACTGAATGCAGTCATGAATGTTGATTCTATTCTATCACTTCAACTGATACCTAAAATTCTGGCAATGTATTTTGATATAGTTTCTACACGAGCGTCCCTTAATCACATAGAATAAAAAATACTATAATCATTAAACAGGTTTTTAAAACGTTTTTAAGAAATTCACCGAAATCCCGAAGCTTAAAAATTTTGCTTTTTTAAGAAACGGGTCATAAAATAAAAAATGAAAACAATAATAAAAATGGTAAATGATATTCTTAACAGATGAAAAAGTTACCACCACTGAATGTAAGAAAATATTTCTCTCTAATCTGCTTATCAGAAAAATATATATCACCCTTCTTACAAGATTTCCTGATGTACCGGATATAGATTGCACTCAATTCATTGATTTTTTTAAATTTATTTATGAGTTTTCAAAATTATTCATTTTTTTAATGATACTTCTTCGAATAAACTTATTTGTGTACTAATACTTTTCGTTAGACTTAGGGGTTTATTTTGTGATTTTAATTGTTTCAAGAATATAATTACATGATATGGATACAGGAGAACATTAATCCGAATATTAATAATTATATTTGATTATATTTAAATTGTATGTGATATATTATATTGAATATCATGATTATTTATTCGAATATTTCTCATAAAATGTATCGAAATACGAAAAGGAAATTTAACTAGGCTAGTGAATTCATCAGTAATATTTTAATAAAAACCTTTTCATATCTTAACATTGAAAAAAACTCAAAATTTCATTATTTGTGAGAGTTATAGAGTTTAGAAATGTAAAACGCTTCGTAGATTTTTAAAAAAAAAATCTCCACCTGTTGAATACTCTATTAATTGAATTATAGAATCCTTTAGACCTAATTTCTTATCCTTTAGACTTAATTGCCTAATTTTCAGACGAAAGTTTTATCTTAATACATAATGATAAGAACAGCTTAGAACCTGGACACCAAAGCAGTTAAGAGTTTCAACAAGAAGAAATTATCTTACGATTTACGGTCCTGTTGAGAGAACAACTTACTCTTTACAACAATGATGAGGCGACGTCTTAAATTTACAAAAAAAAAAAAAAAAAAAAAAAAAAAAAAAAAAAAAAAAAAAAAAAAAAAAAAAATCGTAAAACTTACAATCCTGATGAAGGAATAGCTTATGATTTACAACGGACTGACTGTTTGAAGTTTTACAACATCGAGGAATAATATAATTCGATTTTCCATTGGCAAACGAACGGGTTACCCTTAAATGTCTACGATAAAACATATACCAATGATAAATCATAAGCATATCAATTTCAAACATTCAGAAATTTTCTGTAAATGTGGTGTGATTATTGTACAACTGATGAGTTAGAACTGCTTGCAACACTGTTGAAGGAACTGGTAAAGATTTACAATTTTAGCGAAGAATCAGCATACGATTTGTAACCTGTCGTTAAGAAAATGGCGTAATATCTTGCTTTTGACTTTAGCAGATTATTATAAACTTGTAAATCTTTACCTTGCATTGAATCGATGCTCCTTTTCATTTCTCAGCCACCAGTTGAATTCAAAAATAGTTATCAAAACGTTTAGGTTTTAGGTTTCATTCATATGAACAGGCTAAATGCCTTAAATAATACCGTCAAAATAAGCTTATTTGGTACTAGATAAAGAACCCATTACCTGTTCATCTAGTTGTCTCTTGTACATTTTGACCTTCTCACTCAATTTCTCAGTGGCATCATTGAGCATAGTGATGGTCTTGTGGTCGTCCTCGGTCTGCAACAGCAGCTCCCTCAAACGATGTTCCTTTTTCCTTAGGCTCTTCTGCGTCTCAGAGTGACGTCTCTTCTCCTCCTCGAGTTCGATCTCCACATCCTTGATCTAGAAATTAATTTAAGAAATAACATCATTTAATTCAAAAAATATATTTTACGCGAACTATTGCATAAAGTTGCATCGAAGATTTAAGACTTGTTTAAAAAAATAGTAACGAAGTTTTCACATTCATCTGATAAGTATTGCATTAAGATTAGGAAACTCGTGGTGAAGAGACTGATATTTTAAACAGAATTTGGCTATAAAACCTAAAATTTGATCGGTCCCATATAATGAAAAGAAATTTACGTCTAATTATTCAACGTTATCCTCAAACGAAGCATTACTTCCAAAAAGCTAAAACTACAAAGAAATGTACTATGATCAAGAAAGCCCATAATCCGCACGTAAGGATGTTTAAAAGAAAGAAAATAATAACGGTCATGACTAATCTGAGAAGTTATGAAGATTTGAGCGTTTTGGAAATGAGTCGAAGGGCACAAGAGGCAGAAATTGTCAACAATTACGATGAGTAAAGAAGGTATGCATGCATTAGTAAACAAAATATTAATAGCTTTTAATAGAGCTATTACATTCGAAATACTTTGCGTGATGATACGTCAAAATGTAAAATGAATTACTTTTCTATTAGCTAAGATAATGTCGAATCAATTGAATCTGAACTGAACTTACGCGTAAATCTATTATAAAAAAGCAATTGAAAAGTCTTGCTGAGAAAACAATAAACAATATCCTATTCTATGACAGAAATTAAAAAACTTGAAACACCGCTTTTCGGATTTGTATGTATTAGTAACAAAATCGTTTACAACATTATGCACATATTCAAAAAGTACACGTGAGAATGATTAAATTAAACTGTAGAAAAACTAAGAAAGAAAATAAAAACAAGTTCATCATCATTACTGAGACAGACATCTTATTTATTGCACTGAAAGCAAAGAGCTCAATATAAGCAAATTAGGCCATTTGGAGAGGAGCGAATAATCAGCCTTCGGAGTTTCCCATCAATGATGTATGTGTTGAAACAGTGGGCTCAAGACAACCCGATAAGTTATAAACCTAGCAGTGAACTACTTTAGCAATGGATGCTAAAATATCAACACGTCATGTGCATGATCGTGATGAACAATGCAGTTTTCCTCTTGACAGTTGGCATAGCTTTGGGGCACTGCTACGGGTGTACCATTGTCAGTTTCAACTGGTTGCCGACTTCTGCTGCGACGTGGTTTTGGGTGCATGTATTGTTTTAGATAGAATTCCCCTAATACGAAACCATCAACTTCTGCTGCTACAATAAGCCCATAAACATTGTCTCTGACATTCCGACTGGTAAGAGATCGTCTTTTTTTAAGAATCCTGCTTCAGTTTGGAATATAGCGGTGGTCCTTTAGACACTATAAGGGATGAACGCTAAATTGCATTGTAGTGATGCGTGCATAAAAAAGTTGCTGGGGTAAAATGCTTGCAAAGAAGGGTATTCAGTGATAACACAAGAGAAGAGGGGAAAAGACTTTTATTGGAATTGCAAGTTTTCAACTTGGCCATCTTCACTGACGATAACGCACTGCATGCGGGGATTGTTGACAACAGTGACAAACGTGACATCGCAGGACAAATCTTCCAGAGCGCATAATCCAGAGTCATACTGGATGATCGCCAGAAATGTTGGTCAAGAATGTTGGTCTGAAGAGCTTGTCAAGAAGTGAAACGTACTTAAACAAGCAACCGCTATATTTTGGGGAGTCTGAAATCGCACCCTTGATTCAACGCATTCCTGTGGCTGTGCTTCAATAAGACAATGTCCGTCCAAATATTGCAAGAAATGTTCATGTTTCTTCTCAATGTATCAGATACTTTTTCCTTGGCCTGCCCATTCATAAGACATGTCGCCTGTTGAGTACGTCTAGGATTTCATTTGCTGGCAACTTGCTTCCCAGCCAGCATGAATCTTGGAGAGAAAAAATATGGAATGATGTTCCTCAGCCATATGTTCAAAATCCATTTAATTCAATGCATGATATATCTTCGTTCATCAAATACTGGTATTTGCAGTTAGTATTTCATTGCTCTGTTCGATCTCTTTTTTTTTCTTGGTATCACTACAGATTTCATGAGGACTTAATTTCATTCAGTCCCAATGATAATTTCACGGTGTTTTGATTTTCACAATCATGAAGGTATATTGATTTTATTCACTTTCATTCGAAATGTTTGCTTTAAAAGTTGATGTTCTAAGCTTAATCGTGTGCATTTGGAGATAACTGACAATACTTCTTAGAACATTTATGTAAATAAGTTTAGATATTCCAAATATCAGTCTTGAACTGATCTTCCAATGCCTTCATTTTGACTGATTAAATCCGAATCAAAGATTCAGACAAGAAAAAACTACTAATGAAATAGGCAAATCATTTACGATCATTAAAAGGATTTTTTATAGTATAAATCTAATTAATAACGATACTGTCTATGCTATAGAAATGTGTATGCTTTTTGTTGCAGTTTAAAGATACCTTTTATTTAAACTCTTAATCAAAGTAAATACGATTGCTATAAAAAGTTAAATATTTTTACTCAGACTTACAGCGACTAACAAGGTACTACATAAATAAGATAAAAACTATTTTCTTTCTTCCGCGTTCTAAATTTAAAGCTTCTCAACTGAGACCTATATACAACACCGACCTTCATTTCGATTGTTTTTACTTCTTTGTTTTCTCCCCAGCATTTCTTTGGCGAGGCCGTTGATACTTTTATTTTTTGTCTTTCGGACGAGTAGGATTTCTGGCCTACTTACAGAGTGCAAACTGCCACCTGTTTTCTTAGAATAGAAGCCAAGCAGTCTTGGCACTCGGACATGATCACATAAAAGGCCGTGGAAGAAGAGATATTCTACAGTTTGTTTCAAGTTTTAGGCATAATAAACTCCATTCTTACTAGAATTGCGCAATGTATTGCATATTAAGAAAGCCCCTGGTACATGAGATGCTGACTTTGAGTTAGCTGGTATTCCCTCATACTTTTCTTAGTGAAAATATAAAAGTTCTTTTAAATCAGGCAATTTTCAGTCTTTATTTGTCTTAAGACCTTAATTTGGTTTTAGTAAAAACAACCGTGCATTTTGAGGAAATATGCACTGAGTTCTTCTTCAAGGAGCAAACACATTGTGTGCCATTTTGCCAGAAACAGGTCAGTTAAATAGGAAAGGAAAATCAAATAAATAGCAAATGGATTTACTGAACCCTACACATTGGAGAAATGCTTATAATTCTTTACCTTTTGACTAACGCGTACCATCTAAACAAAAATTGAAAACCTTTAGTACCACCACTACAAAGTACTACTACCACCACTACTCTTGAATAAAGCTCAGATCGCAAAAATTTGCGAGTGTTAGAGAAAAATCTCACTCAGGACGTTGGTGTTTTAATTTTCGAATTTAATAGTTAAAAATACTTTGCTTCTTTGCTTACCACATATTTTTGTCTTGCGTACCACCAGCGGTACGCGTACCATCGGTTCAGAACCCCTGATCTAACATTTTAATATTATGCTTATAATCTTTATGGGAATTATATATTTTTACATAAAAACCAAAACGTGCAAGCAGCCAGCCTGTTTGCCAAGATGGCCTATGCATTTGATGGTAATAACTAGATATGTGTTCTAAATATATTTTCAATTTCTCTACAGGAACATTTCTCAAACGTTTTTGAAGTTAGAATGATTTTTATGAATTAGGATGTTCTACGGATCACTTATTCTTGTCTCCATCGGAAGTAATTTTTTAGGGTATATTATTATTAGAATACTTATATTTTTAAAATACAATTTATTATTTAAATTCATTTGATTTCATATTGGCCACCCCTTCCCTTCGATTCCAATAACGGAATTTCATCGTCGTCGCTGGACCTTCGCAGTACCCCTTCAAAGAACCGGAAAACGTTGTGCTTAATTGCACAATGTTTTGTACTTTAAGGTTTAGTTGAAGTTTATACTGGTATTAAGTTAACAGAAGAAAATTTATATTCATTTGTAACAGTTCAAGGCTAGTAGGCATTGGCTAATTTTATCTGATTAATTGAAAATTAAATAAATGTTGGCACCAAAATCTGAAAATTTCAGCTATAGTGCAATTCAGTTTTTTTTTTTTTTTTTTTTTTTTTTTTTGTGTGTGTGTGTGTGTGTGTGTGTATGTCTTGGAAATTTAGGAAAACTACAAGGGCTGATGTCGAAGACCACAGATTGAGAAAAGCTGCCCTATAGTATTTGAGACTTGTTGTTACAGCTAGTGCATGCCATCTTTTAATCTTTGCAATAGAGCTTTTAAAATTATTGGCGAGTGAGATTTGTGCCATAACGAAACTGATACAATTCGAATTTTCCAAGAGGGTAGCATCTCGTCGAACTTTCGAAAATGTATTAATTTTCATCAAACGAAGTTATACATCAAGGAGAACAGTATTTTATGAAAGGAAAACATTGATAGAACCAAAGAAACTGAAAGAATGCGTGTTATGAACTGGTTAGGATGAAATCTAATGTAACACGCACGGTAGCCGTACGATTTATTTATTGTCGATATAATACATTCGAATCCAGTATAACGAACATCAAGAGACCGAAAATTTGGCTCGCTATATCTGATGGTTCGCTGTATCCAATCTAGTAAGAAAAAAATGGACCATCTCACAAAATAGTGTAATACGTTAAGAGTTTTACACGAAAAATCACTTAGCATAAAAACCTTTAGACCTTTTTCCACTACTGACATATTTCAATCTAAAATACGCGTCTACGACTGTGAATAAACATCAGTTTTAAACAGAGTGCTCTCTAGCAGCTCAAACAAATAACTGATTTAAGATCTTTGTCTCAAGGAGTGACACAGTAAGATTTCCTAAGGCAGTGGTCTCAAACGCGTTGTCCGCGAATACATGCATGTATTTCAGATATGGTGCTTATCGTTTTAAAGACATAAACATATGGACTGTGCTTATGTGCGGGATTGATGTTGAAGAAAGAAGGGATAGAATAAATAGGTTTATCGCTATATGTTTATACGTTAGGCCACGTGACTAAAGTAACATTGCAAAATTTCCCATGCTGTCCCACAATCAGTAAATTTATTTTGCCAGCCGAAAGCTGGTGGCTGGCAAAGTGCTATTTAGTGCTCTGGTGTTTCCATTTTTCAGTTTAAGCTTAAAAGTAAGTTATTTACTAGTTAATTCAACGTATTAGAATTACTTGTAACAAATGGATGTCTAAAAGTTTTAGCGTTTAGCTGTCAATACGTTTGAATTGCAAAGCGTAACCAATGAAAATTTTTTACAGGTACCAACCTTTGGACTTCAGATAAATAAATATATTTCTGAATTTTTCTTTTGTATCATTGTTATTATTATTGTTTGTGTATGTTTGGATAAATATTCAGAAAGCGAAATTTAAAATTTAATTGTTTCGTTCTTTTAAGTGTTTTTAGATTTTCTGAAAAAAGAATTCTGGCCCGTCTGCTGCTTTCAGATCAAGAATTCGGACCGCAGGGAATTTGGGTCAGTATCGTAAAGTATGCTTATTGTGTACCCTGCTTTTCCAAGAATTGAATGTTATAGCTGCCTTGCATAGCTTTTTATTTAGAATGCTGGGGATGAAGATGCAAAAACAGTAACCTAAAGTTGGTTTTTGTTATTTTAGTACTAGGACTTAATATGAAAAGAGGGAACTCCCTTCCGGGGGAAAAAAAACGGAAAACATAAGCGGTTAAACCTGTACTGTCAAAATCGATGAAAGGGTTACCGTCGCCAATGAAAACCAAAGCATACTTCTCATCAAAGGAAGCCAGATGATTAATACGTTAGTACCCTGAGTTTTGCTGATACCCTTGCGAAATAATCTTAAACTGAATTTCGTTTATAAATCCTAGATGAAGAATCTATAGCTAAAAAGTAAAACAGATGGCACAATTTTTTAGTGTTAATTTAGTGAGGCTTACCCTGGCTTCAAGCTTGCTGATGACACGTCTTCCTCCGGCCAAAGCGTTAGCTTCAACCTCCTCGATTCTGACTTGGAGGTTGTGTACTTCCATCTCCAGAGACTTCTTGATGGATTCGATCTTCACGCATCTCTCCTGTTCTTCTGTCAGTTGGTCCTTTACTGTCTTCAGCTCGATGACCGTGCGGTTGTACTTCTCATCGACAACCTGAAAAGGAAGAGGGTTATTACGGTTGTAATTATTGCCTATGGAAATTGACGGTTAAATATCCCAATTAGAGCTCAATTGTAAAGGAAATAATTCTGTGAAGATAGAGAATGAAAATGGCTAACGCATAAAATGCAACAAAGGCGTTTTTACAAATGTTTATTACACATAAATATCTTCAATGAAATAATTGTTAAGCATCTGTTGAATCTTGGCAGTGCTCGAATAAAATTAGAAACGTCTGGTGTTGTTAGTGATAAATTTAGGATATCAATAATTATGTTTTTTCGAACGGGAAATATGGAAAATTCAAATTCACTGGATTCAAACCATAGATCTGCTATTACATATGTTAGCATTTACGCCACGGCATTTCGAACGGGAAAATGTAATTTTATAAAAAATACATTCTTCTTATTGCACTGTCTGATTTGCATTAATTCGCAGATTTCAAGAATTAATAAATCTTAGATTAAATTCTCCCTTTGAGGTAGAATTTGAACGTTACGTTTTTTTCTTTTTTTTTCATGAAGTACAGCATTTTGTATTAAAATACAGCTGTACTGTATCTGTTTAATTTGTTGTTTAAATTTAAGCTAAGTGCTGTTTTGATTCCAGCCTATCAGGATTGGGCTGGGAAAAGCACAACTTAATTTAGTTTAATTAATTACATTAATTTTTCATAAAATTTATTTAACTTACTGAATTTTGCATCTGACAGTTCAGCAGCAGGTTTTCCCTTCTCTTTTTTCGATACTTGAAGCCTTTAATGAAGATGTTTCAGAAAATTTAAAATTCATTTGATTATTGCTTTTTCAGAATATCTTAAAATGTTCATTCATAATTTTTGTGTTTTAGCTGATTTTTTGTTTGAGTTTCCTTTTTACACTGCTTGAGTTTGTCTGCTGGCTTTGAAATTGCTCTTGTTAGCCCAAAAGAGCTATTAGTCTCAAAACGCGATTTTGTGTCGAGTCACTATACTATATGCGCCACTTTACTTTTCATTTGACTCTGTTGCCGTTCGGCAAAATGTAAAATATTCATCTTTTAAATTGAATCTCTGTTGTGGATTAAAAAACTAAGGCATTTAAAGGCAATAGACGCAGTTCTTAAGAATCTTATTTTCTCACTTTTGAATCGGATTGATTTAAATAATAAAAATGTATTTAACTCATGATCAGTCTAATATAAAATATCCAATATTTATTATGTCGTTATCAATGACGTTATGTGATTTTTTATTATCTATTTCATATACTTTAAAACTTTGATGAATTTTTTATTAACGATTTGGAAGCGAATGGCAACACAGTACAAAATAAAACATTTTTATATTCAAAGCTCCAAACTGTCTTTCCATAAATATCCAGTCTGAAAATATGCAGATTTTAAATATTTTGTGATTTTGGTGTTGAATTAAATTTTGTGTGGCGTAAGTTTGAAGAACTTGATATGAAATAAATATAGTTAACAAATTAACACACAAAAATTTTGAACATATGCTGTTATGTTGCTTTTATTTAAAATTTTTTTTGTTGTTGAATTGTATATAGCGTAAGTGCGAAGAAAACGATGCTTAAAAATAAAGATAAAAACGCAAAATAAAATTGGTTATCAGGAGTGAGTGCAGCAGCAGACTAGACTGTAAGGCTCAACAGAAACATAAAAACCTTAACAAACCCTTTCGGGCGACCGTGAAAATTTGAAACCTTTCCGATTTCTTTTTTGCTTTTGATCTGGATTACAGATTAAAATTTGCAGGGGATTTGGCTTGTGAAGTGTTTTCGCCGATATAATTATAACTGTTTGCTCTTTTTTTTTGCAGATTTTGTCAAAAAAAGTCTACTATTGTTTAGCTGAAGTGAATACGATATTTTAAATTGCCTTGACTTTTTTTTAATTTTAATTTAATATGATCACTGAATTACTGTAGCTCGCAGCATGTGATTTGTATTCAGGTTTTAAACTTAATTTTTTTTCCCAATTTTGAGATAACAACAATCGTTTCAGTAGGCAAATGTTTCCTTAACAAGCCAAGGAATATAATATGGGATTAAGAGATTTTAATGGGCCATTTTTAAATTGTTACAGTATGCATTAGCAGCCATTTACAAAAATAAAGGATTAGTCGTAAATATTGAATAATGTTTTAAGTAGAGATTTTATGCATTTTAATTCAGAATGTATCTGCCACAAAAGTATATTTAAATGTATATTCGTATCACAATTTGTAGATAATATATTTTTTTCGTAAATTATATAATGCATTGGGGGCTCTTTAACATACTTAAAATAAAAACTTATGATTTATATTTTTATTTATTTTTTTAACCTAAAATCAAAATCCAGAATAATAAGAAATCACATATTTTACATATTTGGAATAAAATAAAATATGTAAGTCATTTTTAATATTTTGATCGACTTTTATACTCCACGATCTTTACATGTGATCAGAGATTTTTTATTGCTTGCAAAGCAATGCATATTAACTAGGTATACTCTTTAAACAAGCTTGTAGGTTTTTGTTTATCTTCGCTACATTAATTATAATTTTAAAAATATTCATGTTTCCTTTTATCTTTTGCCTTATGACATTCTGTTCGAAATCAAATTTTTTATATTCTAGATATCATTGGGCTTTTAAGATACCATAGGTACTGTAGATCGTTTTGATACACGAGAAATTTGCAATAATCTGCTATCTAATTTTAATTCAGACGTATGTTCGTTTTGAGGGTTATTATGATAAAAACGAGGACAAATTCAAGAGAGCGAAGTTTTACTGAAAAGAAAACTTGTTAAAACCTCAAAAGGTTAAAAATTAAGGCCGAACAAATTATTGCAAAAAAGTTATTTCTTACATTGAAACTTAAGAATCTAATTTTACACTTGAAAGTAAATTATGAGTTATGGTTTCGATGAAAGAATATCAATCATTCTCTAACTGATACTAAAATAAAATCCTGATGCAGTCAGAATGAAAAAAAAAAAAAGGAATTATCTCTGAAAATCAGTTTCATCACTGTGAATGAACAAAATGAGCTTTCACTCCGAGACTACTTTTAAAAAAAAATTGCAGTTCCTTTTTTTATTTTAGACGCTTCTCTTTCATGATAAACCTCCAAACTGCGTATAGTTAAATCCAACCTTATCTCCATACTTGTAGAAATGAATTGAGGCAAGTATTATGTTTTTATTGATACTTGTTTTCTACGTAATCTTTTAAAAATAACTTGCCTTTTATATAGTTAAAAATCATCTTATAATGATTAAGTGTAAATTCTGAAGAACCTTCATGCGTTTTTATCGCTTTACATTGTTTATAGTTCTACAAACATTTATGATTTATTTTCCTTTCTCTATTTTTAATACGTTCTAATTTATTTTAGCTCCTGCTCGACTTTTGGATCGAGAAATTTATGATTGATTCAAAAATCTAAAATCTATAACTAATCCATTAATGTCTTAGTTTTGCACAGTATTGTGATAAAAGTTAGTCCAAATTTAAAAGAACAAATTTTACGGATATGGAAACTTTGCTAGGAACTCAAATGATTGAACCTAGAGGGAAAAATATCTACAATATGTTATAAAAATAATTTACAGATACGCGATAATTTATAGATACGGCTAAATTTAACAAAAAAGAAAAAATTTTACTTGTTATGCTTTTAAAATTAAATTTCAATTTGTCGCTAACTAAAATATTTATTCAATCAGAATCTAGTTATTTCATTGCGATAATGTTTGCCGGTAAGGATTGAAATTACGTTTTTTAAACAGTTTTCCTTCCTGAATATCAAAAATAATGACTCGGAAGATTTAAAGATTATTCTTAATTGATACTCACTCTCAGTTCCTTGTGGATTTCTTCATAGTCCGACTGCAAGGTGGACAAATCGCTCTCCAGCTTGTTCTTGGCTGCGGAGAGGTTGACGTTGATGGTGGTCAGTTCGTTCACCTTGCTGTGAGCTTCCTCGTACTGTTGCTCGGCGTGTCGCTTGGCACGTTGAGCCTACGATAAGGAAATCATACAGAGGAAAAGTCAGTCACCGTATCATTTTTTTCTCAAAACATGGAATTTAATAAAAAGAATAAAAAAAGAATAAAGGAATAAAAAGAGTTCCCGCCCCCACCTTGACAAAAACGAATAAAACATAAATAGCTATTTAAGCGCATCTCGTTTGAAAACTCAATTATATTGCATATAATGATTTTCTTCAAAAAAGTGTGACACATGATCAATGTTAAAGTAGGCGAATTACTGAGCTGGCAAGAAAGTAATTTTGGTTTCCGCACTAAAGATAGCGTTATGTTCGTTTTGTTATTTTGTCAATCTTATTAACATTTTCAAGATTTGGCAGCTGACACTTTCAGATTGTTATAGAAGCAAATTCCGTGTATTTTTGATTACAAGTATTAGTTTACGGTCAGTTTTATATGGGGTAAAAAATAAACATTTTAAATATATTTTATGGTTTTATTTTCAAAAAGCAAGAAAGTGGCTGAAACTCACAAAGATATATGTGAAGTTTATGGTGTTGATTATTTAACGGAACGCATGTGTCAGAATTGATTAAAAAAATTTCATTCTGGTGATTTTTCACTTGGAGTTGACCAACGTCCTGCCGATCTTCTGAATCCGATGATCGCAAAATTAAAGCCATATTTAAATCGTCATATTTTGCACGAGAGTTTGCAAAATGATTAAATGTATCACACACCACAATTGAAAATCACGTAAGTTATCTTAGACTCGTTAAAAAGCTCGCTATTTGGGTTCAGCATGAATTGAAAATAAATTCGGCTAATCTTTGTAACAGGTAGTTTGGCGACATTTTGGTAAGGCGATAAAGATTACTAGTTAGGACTTTAGCAATAATCTGAGAAGTACACAGTTCGAATCACAGATTATTTTGCCTCAGAGAAATGAGAGATCATGAGACATGTAATGTGACGTTTTCCGGAAAATTCCAATCGGGATTTTAGCTAATAAGCACTTAGAAACAATTTCGCTGCTAAAGTGCAGAATCGCCCACTTATTTGTTTGGCGCTTTTTACAAGAGTAAGAAGAATTGGATTTTTGTCAATTTTCTTTGACTTTTTAAGTGAAAATAGGTCGATGTGTACATGGATAAAGTCAAGCGTGTGCGCAATGCCATTTTTATGCAATTCTGGGATTTTTTTTAAGTGAAAATAGATCGACGTGTACATGGATACCGTGTATATGCAATTCTTAAAAACGTGGCAAGCAGTGGAAGATTCTACACTTCCAATTTCGCACCTAATCTTCGTCATGATTAAGCACTTTTGTTCCATAAACGTTCTAGCATAAGCGTAATTCGGCTAGCAGATTGTTGGAAAAAATGTTGAGTAAAAAAAAAAAAAAAAAAAAAACACAAACCCCTAGCAGGTTGCTGTAGCAGGGTTGGTCGCCAAAGTTTCGCCAAAAAATCGCCAAGTTTCACCAAAAATTCACTTAGCACAATGAATCAATATTTTCGATAGGTATTTCAAATGTAATGCAATCGACTCTTTTTTAGAACGAATTATCACTGGTGATAAAAATTGAATTGTCTATAATAACATTAATGGAAAAAGATTATGGTCCAAGCAGGATGAACAGCGCAAATCATATCGAAAGCTAAATTACATCAGAAAAAGATCATGCTGTCAATTTGGTGGGATTACAAAATTGTTGTGTATTTTGAGCTGCTTCCAAGAAACCAAACTATCAACTCAGATGTTTACTGCTAACGACTTGTGAAACTGGAAGACGCAATCAAAGAGAAAAGGCCTGATTTGGCAAATTGGAAAGGAATCGCGTTCCACCACGACGATGCGAGGCCCGTCTTTGTCAAAATGCACGAAACTATCGGAGCTTTGTTGGGAAGTGATGTCGCATCTCCCATATAGCCCTGATCTTGCACCATCAGATTACACTTTATTTCAAAGTTTACAAAATTTCTTAAACGGTAAATATTTCAGTAATAACGATGTCCTCAAACCGCTCGTTTTTGTGTTTTTTGCTGATAAAAGCCAGAAGTTCTAACAGCGCGGAACCATGAACTTACTCGAAAGGTGGCAAAAGGTCAGCAAACAGAATGGAAGATATCTGGCTGATTAAAACTTCCTTTTTTTTTGCGGAAAAACTGAGTTTCATTTTACGTTAAAAAACGAAGTTACATTCTTCCCAAACCGATATTTTTCATTATTAATATGAATATGCAAAGTCTGAGAGAATGTAATGACGTTGCTAATAATTATGTATCTTAATTTATATTAATTTTGTTAACACATATTGGTTGATTCTACGACAGCTTCCCGTTTATGAAAACTCCGTATTTTGAAAGCATCTCCTAAAGAATGAAAGGATTTTATAAGAAAAGTCTCACTTATAGCAGTGCCAAATGTTCAAAATATTCTGTAAGGAAGACCAATAAGTGGCCTTGATACAACATTCTAATACGTTCTAGGAAAAATTTATAATCATACGTTCTAGAAATACGTTCTAGAAAAAATCTAGTTCTAGAATCGCTGTTTTAAGACAATGTTTGAGTATTATGTAAGGTTCATGTAAAACTACAGGAAATTTTGAAGCGTTGCTATGAAACGATGTCTATTTGAAATAATGTCTTTATATAATAAATACCGCTGAATAGATAGATGACTGGATTTATATCTTCAAGCTGACATCTAATAGACGACCACCATTTCTGAGCAAAAATGTTCTTTTAACCTTTTCAGAACATCCAGCATGTTTCGATGTAACATATCCACAAGGAGTATGAACGATTTTTTAAAGAATTCCTTTCTTCATTTCTTTAATTATAGCAGGTCAACTACGGTATATTGTGTCCTAGGTCATCTTATAACAAAAAACCAGAAATCGAGAAGTCAGAGAATTTAAGGAGTCAGAAAATCAGCTATAGAATCTCCAAATTATTCGATAGTCGAGCAATGCAATAAGAGACGCCGCCAATCGACCTACAGAAATAGAACATCTATTAGATGTCCTTTCCAAGTCATGAATTTATCAATTTTCTCAGCAGTATGTACACAGGGTGTTTCAGAACTATTGTTCAGAAATGTGCATGGTGTCCGGAAAATGATAACAGGTGATGTAACAAACAAGGACAGAATGATGAAAGAAGGATCAAACAACAAAGAAGACTATAAACAGCCTTATTGTTTGAAACGAAGCTGTTAAGTTGTGCTGATAAAATACACGAGTCGCAACAAGAAACCTCAGCTTAAATATGTTAACTAATTTACATCTTGGAGGGAACTTACGAAATCAGAAGTATAGACAAAAAATAAAGTAACTAGTTAGCTAACCTAAAACCCTATATACTACTTTTAAAACTAGCCACTGACACGTTTAGTCACCTTAAAAACTACTACAAAAACGGAAAAAAATGTAATACTTTTATTTAGCTAATGACATTTTACGAGCTGCGGTTATTGCTTTTCAATGGATTAGTTAATCAGTAAGAGACAGGCTTCAGGAAAAAATTAAATATCTTATGTTCGCCGAATGGCAACATTTTGCCGAGTGGAAGATTTGTCTTTTGAATTTAATCCCATTGTAGCAAACTAGAACCACCAAATTTTGAGCACTCGTAATATTTTACCCGAACCTCGAAGCCCGAATTTCGCATTTGGAATCTTTTTATTTATTTATTTATTTTATATTTTATAAAAATTTAACAAATTCCTCACTAACAAACTCAGCGATTTAAAAGACAGCAGCGGCAACATTACTCGAAATAAAGCATTTTCATCTCCAGCGCGCAAAATATTTCCATCTTTCATGAGCTAGCATGCTGCCTATAACAAAGCATAAGATATTTAACTGATATATTATTTAATAATGATTAGTAAATAAGTGATTTTAAAGAAATAAATGTTGTTCTAAAGGATATTTTTCTATTTTTAATCTTAGTCATTTAAATAAACATGCATCTAACAAGTTGATTGCCGACACGCATAAGTACATGACTGGGTAAGTGTAAATTGCATGAGTAAAACATGAAACATTACTTACCACATTATCAGAATATATGCAATTATTACCTTCAAAACCTTTATTGGTTCATGTATATACTTATGTATGTGCATATGCTAGACATTCATGTATGATGCGGGTTCTGACCAGCGCACTTTCATCATATTTTTCTCAAAATACTATATATGTAACATTTGTATTAGATCATTCCATATCTCAAAGCTATGTAAATTTTTAATTCACAAGATATGTTTGACAAAAGTAATGCAGGTTATTATGTATAGGACCCTACATGGTATTTTATTTACTTTTCAACAACACTTTGTGCTTTCCAGAACATAGCAGTATGTATTTATATACTGTTTTGTACATTATTTTATAAGAAAATAAAATGAATATTATTTCCAAAATTTAGAACTGTATACATTTTTACGAATAATATTGAAATACCTTTATGAAACTATATACGTTTGTAATTTTGGACTAATTTGAGCAGAGTGAATGAGAGGCCAAACAAATCTTTATTCCTGTATAAAACTGCATAAAAGATGATCGATATTGTAGTAAAGGTAACTAGAGGTAGTACATGCGGCCACAAACATGAACATTGCTGTGATCAACTGGTAAATCACAATGCCCCAAAAAAACAAAAATATCATAATTCACTAGTGATTTACGCGGAAATTATGGTGTAAATCACGAGATATCTAATTCGAAATATTAAATATTTTTATGAACTTACGCCAGGTGAACTCAATCATTATATATTTTTCTTTTCATAATAATTATTCTAAACGGCAGGCCACGCAAGTGGCTTATGTTAAACGGTAGTTTAGCAGATTTTGTAAATTGCAAGAAAATCATGCATATATCATAAGATTTGTTTTACTATAAGCTATATAATTATAGTATTGAACTGTTCTTTCCTTTTTTTTATCTGCATGATTTCACCATATTGGGAAAATAAAATTTTTTCTGACCTGTTCAAGAGCTGATCTCATTTCATCCAGTTCCATCTGGAGTGTCTGGCATCTTCTCTGAGCCACTCCCAGTTGATCGATGGCCTGTTGCAATTGACGAGTCACTTCGTCGTAGTGAGATTGCAGCTCCTGGAATGGAAACAATGCCGTATAAAGGATGTGCCTCATATGTCATCGAGATCAGTCTTCTTCTCAAATAAATAAAAAAATTAATTAATTAATAAATTAAAAAGTAAAACCATTCTTTGTCGTTAACAATCAACGACATCACAGAATGCCAATAATTTCTTGACCATAGAAAGGCTATTCTCTGTTCGATAAAAAAACACTAACATCAACGCGGAATGTCTGTGGAAGATTTTAATGGATTGGTGACTGTATTTTTAAATACAAAGTTTCTCAAATAAGCTAAAATACTCATGAAAACAGCTTCAACACTCTGAATAGAAAGGTTACCTAAGTATTATCTTTTTCTTATTGTATTGTCTCTGTAGAACAGAATTGTCAGCTTGTAAAATGTTCAGCATACTTTCATGATTTAAACAAGAAACATTTCGTACTTTGAAGGGAATACTTCATGGAGATACTGATAACTAACAGATTCGTGGAAGCAGCTTAAATCATTTACAGAAGCTGTTTTACCTCATGCAGAATAACTTATTAATATTGCATATTGTTATTTAGCAAGGGTAATTGATATTACAAATGCCTGTGTCATACCGCCCGTGAAATTAACGGAATGTCCATATTTTTAGCTAATAAAATAACTGTGGCTTTTAATAGAGAATAAAATGCAATATACTATGTTAACAACTATTACACCTCTAGGACTAATAGAAAAGGATCCATTAAAACAAATTCAAATCTGCATTCGTCATTTTTCACAACAACATTCTTTATAATTTTATTTTAAACAAAATTATTTCAAATTTTCTCTATATAATTTTTATTTGAACTTAAAAGTATAAATTAAATTTTATACCTCTATAGCGGTAGTCTTTTTCGACTCACGGAACTCTTAGAATTATGTTTTGCCGTTGAACTCCATCCAACCCTTAGAAGAATGTGTTTTAAAATAATATTTAAAGTAGATGAATATGTTATAGGTACACAGTGAAAAAAAAAGGGGGGACTGTTCTATATCTTCCGTTCTACTGCGCCGATTGACGAAATTCAACTTGCATTTTTCACGTCTCGAAAGCGCGGCTTAGGACATGTATTAGATTTACATATAGCATTGTTCTAATATAAGTATTTTGACACAAAATCGGAACTTTTTCTGAAGTAACCTACAAACGTTTTCAATATTTCAATTCTACGAGTCAAATTACGCCAAACTACCAAGTTTTGTAAAAATCGCACGAGTTGTTTTTAAAAAATTATCTCTCAAAATTTTAGTTCCTGAATGCTAATTGAGTTTGGTATGTATGTTTTAATCTCTCTTTTTTTATTAAACTTATTTGATTCTTCCTTTCACATTTCAAAATTCATGTTCATTCCAAACAAAATTCACCCATTTTTATGATAATTTGTATTTTTAAATAATTTAAAAAAATTTTTGCAAAAAAATTTTTGAATTATAATCTATAAAATTTTACCATCATCTTAAAGTAGACGTATTTCTAAGCATACCTGTAAGCAATTAGAGTTTTTATTCAGAATTTTCGAAGATATACGTGAATTTATATATTGATGCGTTTTGAAATTTGGCATATTTGTTGAAAGAGATAAAACATCAAATGTTTTTTAGATATTTTGCTAAAATTATTTGAAAGTAGGAAGATGTCACTTTTTTCCCGCTTATGCACAATATAAAAAGGTAGGAGAAGTTTGCCAAGTGAATTATTCTTGACGCAAACTGAAAAAATTGTGCCAAGATAAATTTTTGAATTTCTCCTTAAATTTTGCATCAAATGTTACAAAATTTAATATTTAGGCATAATTTTAGTCATAGAATTGAAATATGGAAACAAAAATGGTACGTTATTTCAGAAAAAGTTCGATTTTGTGTCAAAATACCTAGGTTAGAACAATGCTGTATATAAATCTAATACATATCCTACGTCACGCTTTCGAGACATGAAAAACGCAATTTGAATTTTGTCAATCAGCCCAGTAGAATGAGAGATATAGAACTGTTCTTTTTTTCGCGCAGTATACCTTAAATAAAGACAATTGTATTTTAACATTGTATATGTAGAAAAGCATTATATTTTTAAAATTTTAACATAAAGTTAGTGTAATTTATTCACTAGTAGCATTAAGCCGTGCTCCAGGTGTCTCCAAACCTTGAATTATATTAGTAACAGGGGTGTGCTTGCATTTTTTTACACATTCTGTCCAAGTCTAGCTGTATTGATGTTATATGCAGTTGCACATTTTCTATTTTGCAATTAACTCGGTCTTGCATTTGGTTTTTGTTGCTACATGCGTCGAAAAAGAGTTTTTCACTTAGATGCGTTGTTCCAAATAGCATTCAAATATTTATAGCTGTGTGAGAAAATTCTAGGTACTCTGCATGAACATAAAACCAAATTTCAGTTGCTGCTGTTTAAATTAGACGTCGAATGTGCTGATATCTTGATAAATTGTTCCATTTCTATCATTGCCACATCTTTTAATTTATTGTAGTGCTCGAATGGATTTTTTTATGCAGTAATTCTAGGAAATATTCGGTTATAGATTTCTTCAATTGAAAAAGGTGCTGTGTTGTACAAATTTTAACACTGACTTTTAAATTCAATTCATTTTTCGTTGGAAAACTTAAGTTTCGCAAAGAATTGCACGTCATTCTATTTAATGTATGACGACTATGTATTAAGTTTCGATACTAACCTGTAACTAAATATATTTTTTAGTTAATAATCGGTAGTCTACTAGCGTGGGTGCTTTGCAGTTTTCTTTCTGAATTTTTATTTTGACTCGCGGAACCCCGGGGCTCCGCGGAACACAGTTTGAAGATCATTGATCTATAGTTATGAAGGAAAATTCAGATAATGCACCGCAAAATCACGCAGGATACCATGCAGGTTGTATGATACATGCATTTATTTCATCAGGCTATATTCTTACAAATTTCATTTTAATGTGTCCATAGTTCTTGGAGGTAACCAAATAAATGTGAAAATGGTCTTAATTTTGAACACCAATATAAGTTAATTACTGCATTTTAAAAATGATCAATGATTCGCTTTACAGAATGTCACTATGAAAGTCTTCCAAATTTTAAATTGCCGTACATTTTCAACAAAGTGTTAATATCTTTTAACATAGGTGTGCTGTGTTTCAATCTGCATAGGCGGCAGGGGCAGATGAGGTTCAAGACAGTTTTGTTTGATGATGTAAAAATTTTCGATGAAGGTTAATTAATTATCTCACTTGCAATCGGAGAGCCTGGCTCTTGATGGTCTTCTGGAGATCGAGGTTCTGCTTGTTGGCTACATCGAGGGACATCTCCAACTCGGTGATTTGTACTTGCATCTTCTTCTTGATGCGGGCTACTTCCGTCTTCAGCTTGGCTTCAGCCTCAGCCAGTCGCTGATTCAATTGATCGACCTCGATTTGGTATTGCTTTCTGCGGAGAAGTAACAATGTGGTTAAAGAGTCATTTCCGGTACATTAAAATATGCTTCTTACATTATGCAATGAAAGACTGCATTTTGTGTTATATCTTTCTATATAATTTATATATTTGTAAATTATTTCTATATTGTTTATATATTTGTAAATTATTTCTACATTTTTAATATATTTGGAATTTATTTCTATATTATTTATATATTTGGGAATTTATATATTTATATATATTTTGTATTTATAAATTTATATATAATTTATGTATTCTAATAATATATATATTTGGAACAACATATTCTCTATTTATGGGATTAGACAATTATTAATTTTAAAATATCTTTCTGAAATAATTTAGTTAATCAGACAGGAAGCATAAAAAACACGAAAATCCAAGTTTTTTCGGTTACGTTTTCCGAAATAAATATAAAAATGTATTAGTATTGAGATGCTTATTCTAGAAAAAGAAAATCAAGGACAAAATGTAAATAATCTGTACAATATAATATCCTTTTTCCTTTTCCAGTATAATATACATTTGAGACTGCAGAGATTTCTTTAAAATATTAAACATTTCTTTGCAGAAAAAAATATCGGTTACATATTATATCAAGAATATACCTTAATAAATAAAGTATATGTTTTAATTATATATTATTCTCAAAAGACTGTTATCTTAAAAAAGAGATATTTTTCTAAATTGTAATTGAATATAGTGCAAATTTTCCCGAAGAAATTAAAAAAATATGCTATGAAATGGGCTGAATTAAAACGAGAATTAATGGACAATGATTAATAAGTGCATTTTTATGTAAAAAATATTATTATTACAATGCTTGATAATATTTGTTAATTTATAATTTTTAGTTTCTCTTCGGTTATCAAGACCAGATTCAGAAATGTGTGTGTCATTTTTCTAAATGTCATTTTTATCTAGGGTTGAGGATTTGTGATCTATAGAGATGGAAAATATTTTTAGATAGAAAAAATATGTTATTCATAAAATTAGGCAAAGTTAAACCTTAGCTTAATGTTAGATCTCTATATGCATTTCGAAGGAATATAATCCTGATTCCTTTTCTTCAAGTTGCAAATATCTTCGTTTTCGCCATTTTACCAGAAATTCATCTTTTTTAACAGGGAACATGAAAAGGAAGCAGCAATTACAAAGTCAACTCTGTAAATAATAAAACTAAAAAAACACAAGATACCTCTTGTAGAGCTTTTGATAAAAATTTATTTTAATGGAATATGATAAAGTACACGAGGTTATGTGCCTAAGGGAAAAGTTGCCTTCGTGGAGAGTTTTCTAAGGGAATTAGCTAGCATTCAAATTATACGCAGGAAAAACATGAAAAATAACCCTACAGCAACCCTTTCGCCTCGATTTGAACGATCCGTCTCACAGTCTCTTAACAGCGGTCTTACCACACGGCCTGTGAGGGGGCGAGAATAGGATAAGAAACAAACTGTAACTAAAACCGATAGATTCTGATAAATGCGGAGTTCTTTCACAAAATATATAGAACATCCTTAGAAGTCTAATTTCAAGCTAAGATTACTTTTCCTTAGTTTCAAACGAATTTCAATTGAAAACTTCCCAAATTAATAGCTGTAATGCTTGATCTTTACTGAAAAATATTTCCTGAAATTTCAGTAAATTTTGGTCTTTTAATTTACTAGGGAAATAAAATTCGCATCCATATATGTCGTAAGTTATAACCGGAAGAAGAAAACACTTTTAAAATAAAAAAAGGGCAAAATTAAAAAAAAATCTTGCCATTCATTTCGAAATTAGTTCAAAATTTAGAAAAGTGAAGAATAATTTTTGGAATAAAGCTGTCGCTATTATTTAATAATGAAGAATGAAAATGCACTTTAAAAAAAGAGACATAAACTTTGAACACACATAGTTCTCCACCTTAACGTATGCTCCTCGCAGCTCGAATTTTAAATTTCGTTTTTTTCTTCATTTATTACACATACTGAGTAAATTTAAAACTATTTACAGGTGAGCAGTGGCAATACTGTTCGAAATAAACCAATCTCCAACGCGCTAGACTGTCGCCATTGAGAAAAATATAAGATATTTTCAGTTTTAATCAACCAACCCGGCTATTTAAAAGCGATGTGTTGTCATTGCCTGAAATAAAATACATTTACTGAGTAATAAACTAAACGATTTATGAGCAATCAATGAATAAAGAATTGTTTTTCACTTCTTAATCTGATTGATTTGAATAAAAATACATTAAAATCAAAAAATGTCTAATTAGCCTGAAATTGCACTAGCTGGACTCAAAATTATTGTATGTTTTTTTCTTTTTATGATAACCGTTTTAGGCGCATAGAAGGAAATGTCTGGTATTTAATTTTAGTTGTTGCATTCAAACGCTTAAATTTCTTTTCGATTTCTTTAACAATTACTATTTATAAATGTGTATTTATACAATTTTAATATTTTTATTTCTTGATTCGTTTTAAATACCACCATACCGAACCAAAAACTTACTGATTTTGAGTTGACTAAAACGTTATGATGCTTTTAGCAGTAAACTAGGTTAATAAGCTTTCGTAAGCTAATACTTATCGTCCTAAATAACCGAAAATTCCTGCAGCTTTAAAGGCATGTTGCCAAAAGGTGAAAGATAAATATAACTTTCATTCCGAGTTGATAAATTAAGGGACCTAAGAGCAACATACCGTGGGAGTGCCGAGGAATGTCTAAACGTTTAAACGGCAGATTTAGTTGGAGCAACAACGCGAAAATGAGGATATTAAAACTATTTTGAGCGAGAAATTGTGATTGAATCATTTGACGTATGCTTAAAATTTTCATTTAAATCCAAACATTGATAGCAAAAGCCAGAAAAAAGGCCTAATAACGCTTTTGAGACATCAATCAAGGAAACGTTCTACACTTATTTATATCATGTATGTTATCCGAATTGAAACATGAAGAATATGAGACATAAATTTATTCAAATTAAGGAACCTAAGAGCAACATACCGTCTTTTTATCATTTGAAGGATTAGAAAACTTTACCATTATCTCTCAGGAAGCTGCAGCTTCACGTCAGAAGTAAAAATATTAAAAAAGTTATTTTAGGAAAATATTATAAAGCATTCTCTGTAATATTTATGTAAGTAAATGTAAATTTAATCTGTAAAAAATGAAGAAATAGAAAGAAAGTATCAAACGAATTCTCCGAAACACAAATAACAAACCCAAACAAATTCTCAAAAAAAAAAAAAAAAAAAAAAAAAAAAAAAAAAAAGAAGAGGGGGGGGGCGGTTCAAGTGAGACTCGGAAAGTGAGAAAATTTTGGAATTGGCTTAAAATATCAGTCAGGTCATTTTTTGTAATGAACAGAGGAAAATAAAATATTTTTCTCAAAAAGGGAAAACTTCTAAACTGAAATACACAGCTGTTTCGGATTTGAATCCTCTTCGGATCTTTATTTTTTATCCTCAGATACAGAATATTTGATACCTAAGGTAGTATTATGCACTGAGTTTTTATTTTATTATTTTTACGCGATTTTATTTAATTTTTTCATTTATTTGCTTGAATTAAACATTGAAACTAATTTCACTCACTTATGTCGAATCGATTCCTTAAAAGTTTCACTCAGACACATTTGAAATGAATATTCCAAGGAGTTTTTCTTACCTATTGAAATTTTTTCACAAATCGTTGTTTAAAGGTCAACATTACCGTCATAAAATTTTGATTTTTACACCAGATAGATAGTTAGTCATTTCTAATGTAATTTATCGATTTTAGTGGTTGCTTGAAGGTTTTTTTTTTTTTTTTTTTTTTTTTTTTTTTGTTTGTTGTTATAAATGTTGTTCAGAAAGTTGCTAATAATGATGAATTCTTATCATGAAAGATTAACCCTTCATTGTTAGCTAGTTTTTCAACGATGATGAAATCGTATGTCTAAATTGAGTATAATCTTATGCCTGATTAAAAGGAACAATTTTTCTACATTTAGTCGTTCTTTTCTTTATTAATTTATCTCGTTCTGTGAAATATAAAAGATAGAAATTAAAATGCATAAAAAACATTTTTAATTAAAAAAACTTAATAAATATATTAAAATCTAAAGAAATATTTTTTTAGATATCACAGTATTCTTAGTCATATACGGTTGAAGATGAAATTGTGCCCATACGCAAGCTTTATTCGTACAATAATAAAATTTCTAAGAACGATAGAAGTAATAGGATGAAAATGACACGTATATGGTTGAACTCAATTCTCTGAAACCCTGTTTGATAATTTTTATTTTAAATCATCCATTGTTTGCCACTCCAAAATTCCATGCTTAGACAAGCGTGATCAAGAACATAATGATAGCTAAAAATTGCTTTTAGTGCATTTCATTAAAACCATGTAATTTAAAAAGTTTTTTTTTATTCTCTGCAGTCTAATGAATATTGTCTGTTTATACGTAAAAGTGAAAGCACATTCAATAATAGTACAGCGAAAAGTAATTTAATTAATGATGCTAGCATTAATAAAATAAATTTGAAAATTATAGTCTTTAATTTGACATTAAATGTAAGTAAGTGAACAAAATAGTTAATAAAAATGCGAAATAGATAAATATGAAGCGACCAAAAATAAGTAAATTAAACTATAAATTAAGGTATTTGGAAATTTTAGATAAATTTTTCTATATTTGTTAAAGAATTTTAATTTTTCTTACGGGCATGTTAAACATAAACTATAAATAAAGAATAGTATCCAAATTAAAAGCGAGAAACGGTTTTCTCCGCTAATTTTAAGCTCTTCGAAATTTACGAAGATGCAGAATAAAAAATAAAAAACTAAAATAAAAATATTTATAAAGCCAAAATTCCATCCTTCCAATTATTAAAATTAGTTTTAATGAACATTACATCTAAATTTTCTATTTTTATGTTCAAACATCTTTATAATGTAAATGCTATGCAACAAAATTTAATTTAATTTAAATTTAGACACCAAGAGAACATAACTGTAAATTATGTAAAAGTTTACGATTTGTTTAAAAGCAATTATTCCTTAAGCGTAATACTGTAACGAGAACTGTTTTATGTTAAAGCACTCTAATTTGAAAAATACGAAAATTTGCTACTACCTAAGAATTATTTCTTTCTTCTTAAAAATTTTAAATCGAAACAAATTGTGATTTCTATGAAATGTAAGTATATATACATAGAATTATTTGTTTAATTTTAATGTAGTTTTTTCCTTCAGTATGCTTACAATAACTACTAAAAACATTTAAATTCAGATAAAAACATAGCCATATATTTTTTAAATTACTATCGGAAAAGAAAATTATACTCTTTACTATTTTCTTATTGATTTTCGGTAAATTAGTGTATATATATATATTGCTACATTTGAAATTTGCATGCTCTTATCATCTTTAAGTAAAGTAGTTATTTCCGATTAATTTAGTGAAATTCTTTTCAAAATTTAGCAAATGTATGTAGTTTTTTATACGCGTTTTTATAAAATTCGTACATGCAAATTATGCGTAAAATAGTGGATTATAATATTGCATTAAAAATATAATGTCTAAAAAAACGTTCATAATTTCTATCACTACTCGAAAGATATTAAAAATGACTAGTATCAGTTATCTTCGCATTAGAAAAAGTTATCTGTTAACGTTTTACAGGTATTTAACTTTTGAACACTCTAAATTTAAGAGCAGTAAAACGTCTGAAAACTGATACCGCTCTATACTGGAGAGGTGTTCTGCTGGAGGACTCACGATGATACGTCATTCCTCTGCGCCTTCACTATGACGTCATCGCTGGGGCCCCAAGCCTCACTTCCACTGGCTTATCCAATGCCCTGGTTTCTTCTTCTTTCCCTCTGGCTTCCATTTCTCTCTTATGCTTCTCATGGCGCACGTCCGCTCTAAAGCACTCATTATTACTTTGAAAAAAATTAATTTCTTTCACAATAAAACTGAAGAGGAAAAGAAAGACCCAGGACCCAATGCGTTAAACCCTGTCCCTCAGGTCCACAACTGCTAAAATACCATCCCAAAGGAAACTGTCTTCTGAGTGTCCTATCTTTTCATTCTGTTACAGGATCTTCTCTTTGCTACGGATGTTGGCGATCAGCTGCGGCTGTGTGGCGCTTGATGGCAGCACTTCACAGAGCGTATTTTTTGCTGGCCTTGCTAAATTTTTGCCGACTGTGCTCCAGACTGACGAGACAATTTAGTACATTCTTCTTCTGTCAGAATCATCACACATCATATGCTTTACACTGCTTTGCATATTTGTGTTCAACTTCTAAAAGCATAATTCCAGAAGTTTTGGTTAACTATAAATATGGCCTCCTCTTCAATGTACCAAATTGTTGATCCTTTTACAGCGTCAGTATTCTTGCACAACGGTCTCTCGCAAATCAGTGTTGGTTTTTATTATTAGATCAAATAGCATTTTATTAAAAAGAATTCCTTCTGGTTAAAATTACTTCAGATTGACCGATTTTAATTAAGTTCAGGATTTTGTTGACCTCTTGTGCGGCCAACCATTTACCACCTAAAATAGTTATCATAATATATATATATCGCTTAGTTTGTGAATAAACAACAGAATAAATTTGAAATAAAACTAATCTTATTTTACACTTTGCTAAAGGACGCTGCCGCGTGAAAGATAGAAATATATTAATTTGGGCAGTGGCAATATATTTCTTTCAGATTGCAGACTTTATTCATTAAAACTCGTAAGAGAAATATTTTTCGTTTTGCAGAGTGGCAACACACTTCTTTTATATCACTGAGTTTGACCGATTTTTAAATTACGTTCAGGATTTTGTTGACCCTTATGCGGCCAACCATTTACCACCTAAAATAGTTATCATAATATATATATATCGCTTAGTTTGTGAATAAACAACAGAATAAATTTGAAATAAAACTAATCTTATTTTACCCTTTGCTAAAGGACGCTGCCGCGTGAAGATAGAATCTTTAATTTGGGCAGTGGCAACATATTTTTTTAGATTTGCAGACTTATTCATTAACTCGTAAAGAATATTTTTCGTTTTGCAGAGTGGCAACACACTCTTTTATATCACTGAGTTTTTGATTATATTGAATCTTACGCTTTGCCAGGCTAAAAACTTATACTCGTATTATTTAAATAAGTTCCTAATTCGCACGCGTTGAAAGATACTTAAAAGAAATTCGATTCAAATTTGTGGGCTTCAGAAGTGTACTTTGTGAACACGATGTACTTCAAATTTGTGGCTCTATATCGCTGTTTTCTATAATGCGGTAATTCAAACATAAATATATTGCGTTTGCATAGCGGCTTATACTTAGTTTATGTTAGGTTTCGTATTAATCTAAATATCTTACGCTTTGCAAGCAGCAGCACAAAGGATTTAATCACAGAGTTTTAATCAATTCCTTAATTCGACAAACGAATAATCAAAAGCAAATTCGAATAAATCAAACGAAATTTACTTTAAATTGGCTTCAGTGCACACGATAGTGATCGAACGCGTTAGACCCTAGGTCCTTCCCAATGACCCAAAAAATTTTAAAATTTTTGTCAGTTAACTAAAGGTATGTAAGAGATGGAAGAAAAAATCAACTTTCGAAGCCACTACGTACATACTGTAACAGAAACCACGATTGTGACTAACATAATAATGTAAGTAACAAATCAATAGAGCCACAATACGTAAACATAGAATATCAAGCAGAACACGAATAACCTTAAGCATAATACAGGGGCGATAAATTCGGAACGACATAGCATCAAGAGGATAAACTGGCACAATAGATCGTAAACCACGTTAGTTAAGAAATCCCCTAAACAGTTATGAAGGTGTATCGTTGAAGAAATAAAAGGTCGATAATAGTCGAAAATATTATTTGACGTAAGCAGATCATGCTTACTTTTAAAACCTCAAAAAAGATGACGGAACCTGTTGATCATGTTCGAATTGCACCCCGGCTCATTCACACCGACACCGACGGACAAAGAACTCCGGACCACGTTCAAACACCAGTCTGCTAAGCTACGACGTCCATTCTGTCAATCAATTTAGCCTTCAACCAGAATCCAACTATTAAGCGTATAGGGTTCGAATGTTTAAAATAGAATGAGTTTTGGTCGAGGCGGTCGAAACTTTATTTCCCCACTACTTTGCCAGTTTATATTCCGATTCAACTTTGCTAGATCCTTTAAGTTTTGAGCCATTAAGTGAGCCTCTGTATCGTCTCGACGACATACCTTGATTTTAATTCCGTTTTCTCATTTTATATCCGCAATGCAGGACTTTTATACGCTAATTTATGCATTTTGGGATCAGTTTTAAAGTTAGTTCACCTTAAAACATTCCAGTACATATTCGCTTTTGAGCTTAATAGGGTCTGAAAAATTATTATTAAATGCTACACCAATAGTGCCCTTGAGTGAAGGGAAACGAAATATCCTCTCGAGAATGAAAGATACGCTGGAATTTCCGTTACTCCACAGAAAAGTCCCAAAACTTCATCCCCATTTAGCTGAGAATTCGGATGAACAACCGTGTTCAGCAATCTTAACTTCTATACCTAGTGTTACAATGTCCCACTATGTTTGTTACATGCTACAATTTTACTAATGTTTGTGTTATCTCTCGCAACAACAAAAAAAAAAAAAAAAGAAAAAAAAAAAAAAAAAAAAAAAAAAAAAAAAAAAAAAAAAAAAAAAAAAAAAAAAAAAAAAAAAAAAAAAAAAAAGAAAAAAAAAAAAAAAAGAAAAAAAAAGAAAAAAAAAGAAAAAAAAAAGGAAAAGAAAAGAAGAAAAAGAAAAAAAAAGAGAAGAGAAAAGAGAAAGAGAAAAAAAGAAATAGAGAAAGGAAAAAAAGAGAAAGGAAGAGAAAAAGAAGAGAAAAAAAAAAAAAAAAAAAAAAAAGAGAAAAAAGAAAAAAGAAAAGAAAGAGAAAAAAAAGAAGAGAAAAAAAAAAAGAAAAAAGAGATAGAAACAACCGGGGGGAAAGAGAGAATTAACACATAAAATGAGTTAACATGTAGCACTGTAACACATAACAATAGTTGACATTGTAACACATGTATGAATGTTTCAGATTGCTGACCCTGTTGTTCATCCCGATTCTCAGCTACATGGGGTGAAGTTTTTGTTCCTTTTCTGTGCGTACTGAATTCGCGGTATTCCTTTCATTCTCTAGAATGATATCTTTCGTTTCCCTTTCACTCATAGGGCACTATTTGTTAGCATTTATTAAATAATTCTTCAGACCCTTTCGCTCAAAAGCGAATTATCGCTACTCTTGGATTGTTTTAAAGGCTGAAATAATCTGTTTTAAACCTTTGAATCGCACAAATGCTACTTCTCTAAAATAAGTCCTTCATTTTGCGGATATAAAAATGAGAAACTGTAAATTCATTCAAGTAATTGTAGTCGAAGACTAATACAGATTGGCTCACTTAACTGGCTCACAACTTTAAAGGCTTCTATCAAAATGTCTGAATCCGGAATCTGAAGCTGGCAAAGCTAGTTGGTTTGAATTAAGTTCTACCGCCTCTACCAAACCTCGATTTCTAAAACTTTCGACCCGATACGCTTCAACAGGGGGGGATTTCTGTGAAGGCTGAAATCTGTCTGACAGAATGGTCGCGTAGCTTTAGCAGATCGGTATGTTTGAACGTGTCCGCAGTTCTTGTCCGTCGGTGTCGCGTGCAACTGAACCGCGGGTCACTTTCCACCATTGCGATAAACATGTTCCGTCACGTTTTTCTGAGTTAACTGTAATGCAATTTAATCCTGCTTTACGTCAAATAAATATTGTTTCGACTTATGATCGACCCTTTTATGTCATTCAACGATACCACCCTTCATACCTGTTTTGGGATTTTCTTTTAACTAAATGTGGTTTACGACTTCCTGATCTGTCCAGTTTTTCAATCCTCTTTGATGCCTATGTCGTTCCTCTGAATTTAATCGCACCCTGTAAGATATGCTGTATAATGTTTTAGCGTGTTCTGCTCTGAAATTATTCTATGTTTTACGTTTTGGTCTCTATTTGATTTGTACTTACCTTATTATTGTTTAGTCTCCCAATTCTATGGCTTTTCTGTTGTTACAGTAATGTACGTATGTGGCTTAAAGTTGATTTTTTTTTTCTTCCATACTCTTACCCTACCCTTAGTTAACTGACACGAATATTTGTAAAATTTATTTGTTCAATTTGGGATAGCACCTCGTTGTCTACCGCCGTTTCGATCACTATCTTTGTGCACCTTGAAGCCCAAATTTTAAAGTTCAAATTTCGTTTTGATTTATTTCGAATTTGCTTTTGATTTATTTCGTATTTTGTCCGAATTTAAGGAACTTTCGATTAAACACTCTGTGATTTAAATCCTTTGTGCTGCTGCTCTGCAAAGCGTAAGATATTTCAGATTTAATAAGAAAACCTAACCATATAAAATAAGTATACAGCCGCTATGCAAAACGCAATATATTTATGTTTCGAATTTAACCGCATTATAGAAAACCAGCGGCATATAGAGCCACCAAATTTTGAACGTACATAGTGTTCCACCAAATGTACACTTCTTGAAGCCCCAAATTTGAATTTCGAATTTCTTTTTAATGTATCTTTCATATAGCGTGCGAATTTAAGGAACTTTTATTTAAATAATAAGAGATATAAAAGTTTTTTATGCCCCTGGGCAAAGCGTAAGATTCAAATATAATCGGAAAACTCAGTGATATAAAAGAAGTGTGTTGCCACTCTGCAAAACGAAAAATATTTCTCTTACGAGTTTTAATGAATAAAGTCTGCAATCTAAAAGAAATATGTTGCCACTGC